TATATATATATATATATATATATATATATATATATATATATATATATATATATACTTTTATTGTACATTACCTTTTCTTTTATTCACAGGCAATGCCATCTACATCTTCAGGTGAGAACTACAAATTCTGAGTCAAAACTGTTTCATGTAGAATTAAAAGCAAATAGAAAAGAGGAGTCACTATTTTTCATATATATTTAAAAAACAGGAAAGCGCAAACACGACCCAAAGTGTGAGTCTAAGAAAGGACAACCTGCAATTAAAAGGCACCTTGGGACAAGACTCTCAGCAGGTATTTCTTTTTTATAAACATTGGAACGACATAAAAACTATCATTCGTATTCTTAAAAATACAGTTGAGCTTTTCCTTAATATGTTCTTTCTATTTATAAATAGATACCCTTAAAATAAGTGTGTTATTAAAGAATGGGTTTATGCCATAACATATTCTGTTATAATTTATGTTTATATAATAAAAGCAAAGAAACAAGATCAGTCATCATCCGTTAATCATGTAAGAATTTCAAAAATGACAAAAACTGAAACAAAATTACCTTTTAAATCACGTTTATTCATGGTTTTCTGCCTCCTTTGATTTTTAATATTGCAATCAAGCTCATATAATGGTGATGAATATGAAAATTTGAATATTTGTCTTCTGCTGGCACACATGGAGGCTGCTTTTTAAAGGTTTGCGTACTATATCATCTTTAATTTATTTTTATTTTTTTTTATCATCTTTAATTAATAATTCATTGTGTTCAATATTCTAAAAAATAGTTATTTAAATATAATACCTATATTTTGAATACCAATACAACTGTGCTTACCCAGTCAAAACAATTAAAAAAAAATATTTGTCTGCAGAAGTATATTAAATTTTCTGTTATGGTAAGCATACGTTTTATGTGCCATATCAGAAAAAAGTTTCACTTTTCACTTAACTGGTGTGCCTTTTATCCCTCTGATTTTACAATGTTAGTTATCTCATTAATATGTTTTCATTATAGAAAAAGAGGACGAGATATTAAATTATGTGAAAAACACAATGGGGAGCATCTTAGCCAAACTGGACAATCAAGATAACACAACACTCAATACATTCTTGAAGTGAGTATATTTTTTGTTTGAAGGTTTTGACTTGATGTATTCTAACTAAGAATAGAATCTTAAAAAATGTAAAGGTTCTTCTTTTATTGAAAAAGTTTAAGGTTTTCATCAGCTGACACATAATTAATACGTTATAATGCTGGATGCATTTGCATGTATTCCTAAATTTAGAGGTTTGTTGTTGTCAAACTGTCAGAAGTTAAAATTATCAAATACTATGTTGATGTAAATATGTTGAAATTGGATTTATCTTTAACTAAAAAATCTTTTAAAAGGACTAAAATAAAAAACCTGAAGATGGAAAAGAAGGAATTGGTTGGTGTCTTTGGAAAAACTGGAGCTGGAAAGACATCTTTGATAAACACTGTAATAGAGGAGAAGATGCTTCTACCTTCTGGAAGTGTTGATGCCTGTACCTCAGTCGTGACTAAAGTGGAGGCTAACAAATGCAATGGAATATATGAGGCAGAGATTGAGTTCATCTCACCAGAGGTAACCACGAAAATGCTTAAAAAACTGATTTCATGGCTGGTTAGACATGTGGCGTCACTTCCTGTCTTGGTTGCTGTAGATCTAAGTTCTGTGGTGCTACTCAGATTCTCTTCATTTGTGAGATTTCTAAGTTCCTCTAACTATATAGGAGCACTTTTTAATACATGTTCTACTGCGGGGCTTATCTACTGGGCAATTTTTCACTCACGTTCTTTATTTTTGGAGGTACGGGGTAGCTGGCCTTGTAGTATCTTAGCACTACTTTTGCCTTCTTCTCTATCTCCCCAGAAGTTTTCTCTCTCTAACCCAAAAATTCCACATTCTCCACAGTCTCTTTAACTTGTCTGTTCCAGACCGCCTACGCAGATCAAGAAGAGCATGCATAATATTATATTATCATTTGTGAATACATAGGAGGACAACGGAAGGTAGTAAAAGCATAATTTTTATGACATCTTTAATACTCACCACTTACATCCAACAGATGAATAATTTCTGCCCAAACCTCTTCTTTCCATTGGTTGATAATAATTGAGATAACAAGTTCTTGATAATATTGCTAAAGTTGTGAGATGCAGTTTTGGAAGTTGTGACTGGATTTGGTTTGAAAGCCTTTCAAAATAAAATTAATATTTGATCATTTAATTCAATTATTGGATATTACCAATAATTAAATAAAAAGGTCTTTTTTGGGAAAGCATATTAAGAAGCTGTTTTGGTTTTTACTTATCCTATTTCACTTCAAAAAATTGGATGTTGGTGACATTCCTTTTCCTGTACGACACTCAAATCCATCCTTTACCTGGGTGGATGAGGGACGGAGAATGTAAAATGGTTCTCATTAAATAAAATAACTAAGCACTCACAGAGGATATGGAATATGGGAGTTCAATTAGTCCTCTGCCTCCTTTGGCGATAATGATATAAGTGTGGTATTTTTGTAGAAAATTACTCTTGATTAAAAACACTGATTTACTGAAAAATATGTAATAATTTCATACTTAAAGAACTTTCAGAAGTTTGTATGAATGTAAATTGACTTTTCCTTTAAACATAAGATTATTGGCAGCTCTCTAATTATAATTGGTTCATCTCTGGAAGGTGAAGCAGCATCTGAGGTAACTATAGAACCAGAATTGGGTTTGGACTGTTTTGAACTAGTTGAGCCTTCAGAGTTAGCGAAGGTTCTACCTTCATCTAAGATTCAGTTCCAACTAAGTTGTTTAAATGTGCTGTACCTGATGACATGTATCATGAGAACAGTTTAAAATGTTAAACTTAGACAATAGACAAACTTTATAATTATGTAATTTTGTATACACAGGGTGTATACAAAACAAAACAGTGAATCAGTAGCTTACAGAAGTGAAATTAACATTTTCATTTATAAAGTGCAGCAGTGATCAGAGGAATATGAAGCACATGCAGCAGAAACATTTGAGTTGAGTTCTGTTTAAAAGGTGCAAATATAATATTTACAATAGGGGTGTAAATAATAATCGTTTTTTATTGATGCATCGATCCAAAAGCCGACGATGCGATGCATCGATACGTCCGCAAGAGAATCGATTCATGTTTTTTTTTTTCCTGCAGTTTATTTTTATCCATTTTCTCCTGGGCGTAATTCTCCTTCCTGTGCTGCGGTTGCGCTAAACCTATTTTGCCCTCCTACCTCGCTTCCTGGTTATACTTTTACAGTAGTGTGTTGCAGTAAGCTTGACACAGACATTTTTAAATTATGCTCAATATTGAAGCGTGGTCTGAGCTACACACTGTGGGTCTAGATACAGCCGAGGCTGCGAGGAAGTGG